GTGGACACAGGCTCAGACCAAGAGGAGGGAAACAGGCCAGAAGAGCCAGAATGAGGTCCAGCCTGACGTCCAGGTGGGCTTCCTGGCTGTATCTCCCAGGAGTGGTGGGCTGCTTGGCTCGGGGGAGCTCACACTGTCACCCTCCCCGCCCCTCGGCCCCCAGAGCACACCCCACCCACCCCAGGCTGGCCCGGCCCCCGACACCTCCTCTTCCTCCCTTCAGCAGGGAGAAGGTGGCCGGCGGCCCCTCCCTCCTGATCCCCCTCCCGGGCCTCCCAGTTCTGGGTTATGAAGTTCACCCAGACGTCTAGCCCAGATCCCGCCTGCTGCTGTCTAACCCAGTCTTTCCTGTTCTGTCCTTGGTGAGGACACAGTGTTGCTTGTCATCCCCTCTCAGAGACCCATCTTAACTGTTCCCTTCCCGCTCATCTCTGTGTGGCCTCAGACAAGGTCCCTGGTCTCAGTTTCCCCTCGTGGGCGGAGGCATACGACTCAGGTAGAAGAAAGACCCCAGAGGGCAAGAGCTCACCGGCTCTCACTGGCTGTGTGTCCTCCGATCCTCTGTGCCCCAGTGTTCCCATCTGTAGAATGGAACCAGCAGTGACTTATTTTGGGAAGGCGTGTTGTGAAGGTTGTGGATTCCTGTGGACCAGGCATGGGGGTGCGCTCAGTGTTCCACAGAACTTCATGTTACTGAGGACCCTCGGCCTGCTTGGAGGACAAGGGCAGTCACAGAAATGGGCCCCCTGCCATAGGGGTGGGAGCCAAGAGAGCCAGGCAAGCTCGTTGAAGAGGCAGGCATGTGGGAAGAGGGCTGTGGGCAAGGACAGAGGGATGGTAGCAGAGAGGGCATCCAGGCAGAGGGCGCAGCCGGAGCAGGGGCAGGGCTCTGGGTGGAGCAGGCTGGGGGTGCCGGGGAAGGGAGGCTTGCTGGCAGGGCTGGGAACGGGCTGTGCGGGTGGAGGCAGAGGGTCAGGAAGGACTCCGCAGGCCACGCCAATGAGACAGCCTCTGCCCCTGTGAGCTCTGGCCGCCCGACAGCAGCTGAGTGGACAGTGCAGGTGGCCCTCGGGGGGACAGTGTGGGAGGCCCCCATGCTAGAGCGCCGCCTGTGAGCAAGTGCAGACAGGGCGTCCTCCAACAGAGAACGAGGGGCCCAGGCATCTCGTGTCCATTCTACAGCAGGGGAGACTGAGGCTCAGAGGCCTGGAGGGGCCGGTCCAAAGCCCTCTCCTCTCTCTCAGGCTGCCTCTGTGAGCAGTTGCAACCCTCCGCCCTGCAGGCAGCTGTGGGTGCACAGGGAGGGTGAAGGGGGTGAGGGCTGGAGTCCCCAGAGGCCAGGGCCAGGCATGACCCACTTCCAGTCCTGGGGCCAGCCCAGGGCAGGGCCGCGGCAGTGAAGGAGCGAGGGAGCGGGTGGGAGACCTGCACTCCCGGACCCCGGGCCCTCCCAGCTACGGCACCCCAAGTCCTGACGCGACTCGCCTGTGTCTGGGTGGTGCTGTGCTCTCTGGGCCCCCAGCGGGATGGCAATCCCACCGATGGCAGAGGCAGGACGTCCCCGCTGTGGCTGAGGCCCGCACAGAGCAGGGGGATAACGAGTCACGAGTGGGGGCGCACAGGGCTGGCCAGCGGAGAAATCTCCCGAAATCTTCACCTGAGAGTGGAGACTGGGGCTGGGGTCAGCTGGGCCCCAGGCCAGGCTGGCAGCGTGGCCCGACACCTCAGGCAGGGCCCCTGGAGGATGTGCAGGGCGGCCCTGGGAGGCCGGGGCTGGCTTGAACCGTGGCCAAGAAGTAAGTACAGTCTGGGCACCGGGGCCGGGGCATTCTCAGCGCTCTTTCCTCATTCCTGGCCCTGTGGGAGTAGCCGGACCCCGGCGTTCCGCTGTAGCCGCCACTGCGGATTTGCTTACACCTCAGGGGAACCGGGGCCTCCTGCCAAACTGCCCGGCCCTGGCCCCGGGCCCCACGCACGCCAGCCCCATGGGCCCCTTCGACCCCCAAGTCCTGGCCCCGGGCCACCTCCTGCTCTCAGATGGGGAGACTGAGGCCATACTTTGGGGAAGGTCACCCCAGAGGCTGCCCACACTTCAGGAAGGGACAGGGCTTGGACTCAAAGTCCAGCACTCTTCCTCTCTGCCTGCCCCCTACCCTGGAGGGGTGTGCCCCCTCAAAGGCCCACCTGGAGGCCCTCCACCAGGATCTGGGTCTGGGGCCAGGTCCTGCGGGTGCCCGGGCTGGGCACAGCTAGGATGGGGGCTGTTTGATCAGCAGTTCCACCCGATGCCAGGCTGCCAGGGATGGCGGGCAGTGGCCAAACCGGCCCCACCGCATGCCTTCCGGCTCTCGGCAGGAATGCCGTTCACCGCCCGTATGTGCACGGCCTGCAGGCTCGGGCCCGGCTGCGGGCTGGGCTCTGGGGAGAAGCAGCGAGGCCTGGTGGCCAGGTAGGGGCTACTGCCCAGGCCTGGTGAAGGCAGGGAGGGCCCCTGAGGGCACCTAAGCCAAATCCACCAGGCACAGCTGGAAAGGCCCACAGGGACCCTGGGGCCAGAACCCACCTCGAGTCAGAAGGGGAACAGAGACCCTCACAGAGACAGGTGGGGTGGGGCCTGGGACCTCCTGGCCCCCCTTCTTCTCGACAGCCCCAGGGGGCAGCTCCCGGACACCAGGCCCATCGCCCTCCTCTCTGTGCAGCCTGAACTTGGGGTCTGTGTCCAGCCACTACCAGGGGCCCTTGCTGAGCAAGGCCATCTCAAAGGTCCTAGAGGCAAGCAGGCATGACTGGAGCCCAGACTGGGACCTGGGCAAGGGTCTCAGGTGTGAGGATAGGAGGGAGTTCTGGGGGCAGGTGACAGGCAAGGGCCATAGGGCGCCGCATCATGGGGACCCCACGCACACTGACTTCTCCGACTCCAGCTTTTATTGGGGCCAGGTGCTCCCCCCCAGGGGAGGCCAACAACACAGCCCGTCAGAAGTGGGCACTTCAAGGACATGCAGCACCTCGGCCACCACCACCCCGCACTCGGCCGGGAGCGGCAAGTACCCCCACCTGGGCCACACTGACCCCCCTCACCTAAGGCAAAGGCCTGCTGCTGACAGACTGTTAGGGGAGAGTGGGGTCTCAGCGTGGTGCCTGGCGGCCAAGGGACAGTGCGAGTGACTCGGTGGCATCAGGGGCCCCGAGGGTCCATTCAAGCAGAAGGAGGAGCCTGGCTCGGGGGGTGGCGGCCGCAGCCATCCCCCCACCTCCAGTACCCAGTGTAGGTCACAATAATTTAAAAGACACTATAGACATTTCGACGCTATTTAACAATATAAGTTAACCAGGTTCCTTGGCAGAGGACACTGGGCCTGTGGACTCAGGGTATCGTGGGACATGGTTGGGGGGATATAGGTCCAGGGTGGGGGTGGGGCACTCGCGGTGACCCAGAGGCTCAGAGCATCTGGGTTCATTGGGGGCAGGTGGGCTGGGCGTGAGGGTCAGGGCCCAGACAGGGGTCACTTGACTCAGGCTAATGTCCAGGCCATCAGCCTTGTCTGCCCAAGAACACATTTCCATAGGCTTCTGCTGAGAAAACACCCTAAGTTGGGGGGAGGGTCGCAGGCAGTGGAGGCTGCACCGGAAGTCGGCTGCAAACCATCCTTCCTGGCCCTGGGTGTGTCCCTCCCTCTGTATCTCAGTTTTCTTGGGGAGAGGGGTGGGAGTGTTCAGAAAGGACACAGCCAGCCCTGAGTCCCAGGCTTCTGACCCTCTCCCTTCCCTTGAGTGGGACCCCTTCCTGGAAGGGGAAGTTTTCAGGATGAGGTGAGTTGGACTTCAGGAGGGTCTGCCTGGTGTAGGAACCCTCGGAAAAGTGTCTGGGGAGCAGGTGTCCACGAGGACAGCACACGGGGTCCTGGCGGGGTGATGGCCCCAAGCCCTGGATTCGAGTTTTCTCAGCATCTGGGTCAGGGTGAAAGCACCAGAACAGAGTTAGCGGAAGTCCTCAAAGGCACCAGAAAGGGGTGTGGGCCCCAGCAAGGCTGGTGGTGGGGGAGGCAGCCACTAGGCTTCTCAAGGCATGGGGACTGCCTCTCGCCACCCTGGGCATCCCCAGGGTGTGTTCTTGGGGATCAGGAGCCCTGGGCTGGGTGGGAGTCTCCACTCACAGCCACAGGGTCTCTGGCAAGTCTTTGCACCATTTTGGGCCTCAGTGCCCCCATCTGTCAGACAGGCCAAACATCTCGGACTGCTCCCCGACCTTGCCCACCCAGCCCATTGCTGCACTGCCTTGGGGGTCACAATAGCTTCAGGATGGGAGGGGACTCTGTAAACTGTAGGTGCCAGGCCGGTGGCAGGCTGGGAGGGTGACAGGATTAAGGAGGGGACAAGGCACTCCTGGGACCTGACATGGGTGATATTTTGATTTGCTTGATATGATTTTCAAAAAGGAGGGCAGATGGGCCAGAGGACCCTGTCTGCGGCTGTCCTCCGAGGCCCTCTTGGGGCTGTCGCACGCCAAGTGCCCGCCCAGCTCGCTGGTGAGACCCACACGCGCCCAGCCTCCCCACCAGGGAATGCCTGGGAGCCGCTGTGGTCCCTGCCAACCCCAGGCCACCTGAGATCTGCGGGGCAGGGGCAGAGAGGAGGCAGAGAGGGTGTCGAGGGGGTGGGCTACCACGGGGTACGCAGTTAGGACCGGCTACGCGTTAGTGCTGAGAATCCTCTTCTGATACTAAGAAAACATAAATAATTCTTGTCAACATCAGTCCACACGCCCCAGGGCCCAGCGGCGGATGCGGCTTGGGAAACAGTCTTGAGAGTGACCTGCCCGCGTGGCTTTTTGGTGTCTGCGCCACTGGGTGGGGGAGGAGACCTTAGAGTCTTGTCACTTTGCTCTCCGGGATGGTTTGTGTCCAGGGTTCACTTTCCAGAGAAAAGAAAAGGAACATGCTGGGACCGTCGGGGCGGCAGCACCATCGTCCTCACCCTCTCGGCGGGCGGTGGGCGCTGTTCTGCTGAGGAAGGTGACGGAGGGGGAGGCAGGAAGGAGCCCTGGGTGGCGGGGACAGGGTGTGGGCCCGGCTGGGGCCCCGCTACACCTGGGGCTCCCTCTCCTCCGCCACCTCAGCCACCGCGGGCAGTGCCCGGGCAGGGAGGCAGGGCGGGTGTGCAAACGGCCACCGGCGGGCCCGTGGCTGCCGCGGGCCACCTCACTTGCAGGTGAAGACCTCGGTGCGCTCGCTGCACGTGCTGCACCTGACGAAGCAGCACCAGTGGAACTTGCAGTTGCACTGCCAGACCTTGGTGTACTGGTGGGTGTTGTAGCCGCGGCCGCAGCACATGGTGTCACAGCCGTCGGCACCGGGTGAGGTGCGGTTGCACAGGCGGCCCTGCGTGCCCACGCTGCCCGTGGCCGCGTCCTCCTCACAGTAGTTGGGCGACTTCTCGATGTACACCAGGTCCGTCTCCATGGGCTTCTGGTAGCTGCGCAGCTGCTTGATGCGTAGGAAGGTGGGCTGCCGCAGGCGGCTGGCCCGCACCACCTCCACCTGCACGGCCGCGTTGTACTTCTCCTTGAGCTGGTGGCCCACCTCGCGGAACTTGGGCAGCGTGGTCCAGCAGGTCTTGGTGGTGCACGAGCCCGACACGCCGTGGCACTTGCACTCCAGCTTCATGCGGTCCTCCAGAACCTGCGGGGGACAGAGCGGCGGCCACTCAGCGTGGTGTGGCCCGGGACTGGGCGCCGTCCAGCCCCCCGGCCCCCCACCTCCAGCCTGACCCTGCGGCCAGCTCCTCCTTTGCTTCCCGCTGTGTGACCACCAGTAAGTGTCTCCCCCCTCCAAGCCCCAGTCTCCTCCTTTGTTAAATGGGGCTGTTGACAATAGGTCTCCACCACACAGGACATCACAAAGGTCCTGTGAGGATATTCAGGAGCTTGGAGTATATTCATCAAATATGTTTTGTTAAATTCTCACAATAACCCTCCAATAGGAGCTGCTATTCCACCACCAGTGCACTGATGAGGAAACTGAGGCTCAGGGGTCGTGGGACTTGCTGCAGGTCTCAGGGCAGCAGGGGTTGAAGCTGGTGCTGGGGGAGGCCCAGTAACTGCAGGTGCTTAATAAGTGCAGATCCCCACCCCTCCGTCTCTCTCACTCCCCACCCTCGTGCCTGGTGTAGGGCCCGGCACGCAGTTGGCGCTGAACAAATGGCTGCTTGATGAGAGCAGGGTGTGCGCACGGAGCTGGCTACACGTCTGCCGAGGACTGAAGGGGTGGCCGGGGAAGGCGAGTGCACGGTCAGCACGGCCCTGCCGGCTGTCGTCGTCCCCACTCCCAGCTCCACAGGCCTTGAAGGCTGCGGGCGCGTGTTCTCCTTGGGCTTCCCTCCGCAGCCCCGGAAGGCTGATTCTCAGAGCCAGCCCTGACCCCAGGTACTCATTTACCCGGATCGAAAGGGCCCTGCCAGCGGCCTGATTAAAGATGGGGAATCATTAGCTGCCGCTCCACAGCTGCAGAAGGGCCATTTGTCAGCTGTCGGGGCTCCGCTGGTCCCACCTTGGTGGCCCAGCCCTACTGGGGGCTTGGTCACCCTCTGCCCCCCCCAAGCCAGAACCCACTGTCATGGGGCACCTGCTGTTGATCCCCAGCTCTGGCCCAGACGAGAAGTCGCCAGTGAATGAATGAATGAATAAATGAGTGAAAGAAAAAAAGGGAGAGAAACTCAGCCCCGCAGAGATGGCTACAGCCCGAAGACCTGCCCTGGCCCGGCTGCATGATGCCCTGGACCTCGGAGAGGACTCCTGGGGCTCACAGCCCAGTATGGGAAACAGAAGGAAAATGACGCGCAAAATCAGGTGCTGTGGGAGCCCGTGAGAGCCTAACACGGCTGGGGTGCAGGTGTCTGCGCACGGGGCTTCCTGGAGGAGGCGGTGCCTGCACTGGGTATTTATGGATGAGTAGGAGCTCGTTAGACAAAGGATGTTTCAGGAGAGGCTCAACATGAGCAGAGGGCTGGAGAGCTGTCCACCGAGCAAGCGTGAAGGGGAAGATTGGGCCCCAGTGCTCATCACATGAGTGCTGGGGTCCTGAGGCTGGTGGCCTGGAGTTTCGGTCATTTTCTGCTCTGCATAGATAATGTCCTGGGGCAAAGACTGGAGAGGCTTGCGGNGGGGGGGGGGGGGGGGGGGGCTGATGCCCCACCAGGGATGAGCTGGGGGTGGGAGAGGCCCAGGGGTCCTGAGGAGGGACGGGGTAGATTTGTGGAATATTCAGAACTGGAACCGCAGGGCTTGGTGACTGGACCAAGGGACATTTGGGTTGAGGGCATGGACCAGAGTCTGGACTGGGTATCTGGGTGAAGGGCAGCCCCTCAGGGGACAACATATCTGGGATCTCCTTCTGTGCCCTAGCCCCCTCCCTGGTCCTGTCCATCCCCAGTTGGTCTTCTTCCTCCCTTGCCCTGGCCCCAAGTTCATCTTTGCTTGGATCTGTCTCCTCCCTTGAAAGCCCCTCCCTCCACTAACCTGCCCTTTAAACCCGGAAGCTTCCCCTGCTTTGGCCACATTGCCTGCTGGGGATGCCCGCTCAGGCCAGGTGCCACCCCAGGAGCTGACCTAACGGTGGCCCCTCTCAGAGTTCCCAGCCAGGAGCAGTTTACTTCACCCAGGCTGCTGATGACCTGAGACATGGCAGGGTGTCCAGGCTAGAGGGTGTGCAGGCCAGGCGGTCCAAGACTGACTTGTCATCCAGTGTCCCCGCTGTGGCCTGCTGGACAGCTCCCCCCCGCCCCTCTGCTCTGCTGCCTGCTCCTGAGCCCTTCCCTGCCTCCCCTCCCCTTGGCTCTATCTCCCAGTCCTCATCAAGGCCACGCAGCCCAGCCCACACCCTCCCGCCTGCCTGGGGACGTCCAGACCCTGCACAGCCAGGCTGGTGACAGTCGGCAGATGAAGCCGATTGGGCAGCTCTTTGCAGAGCGAGGGGCCGCATCCGTGCTTGGCTGGGTCCCCTGGGGAAGTGATCACAGGATTCAAGAATGTGCTGTTTCCTTCTCCAGTACCCGGGAGATTAGAGCAACAGCGACCCGGAAGCTCAGGGCGCTGATACCAGCCCCTGCTGCCCCCAGAGCCCACCTGCGAGGGCCCAGCATGAGCTGCCCTGTCCAAAGGAGCAGAGGGGCTGTGGCAGGGCCCTCCCCTCCAGGCCTCTGGAGGTGTGGGAGGTGGATTGGGGGTTTCAAGAAAGTGTCCTTACTGTGGTTATGGTGCGGCCCATGCTCTGGGAACAGTGCTCAGCTGTAGCCACCCTGGGGGAGCCTGGTGTCCAGATGCTCCAGCCGGGGCAGGCCACATGTCCATCCCCACAACAGCCTGGGGCAGGCAGCTCTGAGCCTGGGGCCCTGGAGGAGGCACCTGCACACCCTCTCCCGTGGCCCCTCTCATGCCCATCTGCTTCCCGACCCTAAGCACCGGGCCCGACCTCTCCATGGATATGAACCCTTAAGAAAGATGGCCCGCACCTGCTTTCTCCTCTGAGTGTGGGCCGACAGCGTGGCCTGAGTGTGGCCGTCACACAAAGCTGTTTCGTCAGCCACCAGGCCCGTGATGCAGACAGTGTGGCCATGTGGTCCCGCTGGCCTGGGGGGCAGTGTCTCAGCTCTGGACTTGGCATGAGTCACCCTTCCCTGGACCTAATCAGGTTTCCATCTAGACAAGGGGAATGATACACCCACCCAGCAGGACTGTTGTGGACTCTCGGTCAGGGAAGAGCTGTGCCAAGACATGGTACACGTCTAGCTAATGGGGTTCCCACCCCTCAGCTCCCAGAGCTGCTGGTCCTGGTCAGCGATGGCTTCCAACCTCACATCGCCAAGGAGAGGAGCCCAGGGATGTCCTGACAACAGCCCCCAGATCTCCCAGATGGACAAACTCCTGCCTTCACTGGGTCAATGTAGAAGGAGGAAACCACGGCTCCCAGGCAAAGCCTCAGTCTGCCCCAGTGCCCCTGCCTCATACAGTTGCACACACACCAGGGGCAGAGCTGCCATCCGGGCACTGGTCACTCATGCCCGACAAACCACAGGGGATGCCCCGAGAGCTCTTCCTGCACAGGCACCAAGTAGCTGGTCAGTAAAGGCCACTGCAGCCTTCCAGGGAGCTTGGGGACGGGCGGCTACGTCTTTGTCTAGTGGAAGCAGCACGTTTAGTAGCCCCAAGATCATCTTGTCTGGCCCCAGCCCACTGGAGACACCGACCCAGGCCACATGCAAGCCTGGGGTGAACGGCCAGTGTGCTGGGTTGAATCGTGCCCCCACAAAAATTCATGTCCACTCGGAATCCCAGAAAGTGATCCTATTTGGAAATGGGGTCCTTGTAGATGTAATTAAGGTAAGGTTGGAGATGGAGTCATCCTGAATTAGGGTGGGCCCCACGTCCACTAAGAGTGTCCTTCTAAGAGACAGAGGGGAGACACAGACTCAGAAGGGGTGGCCACGTGCAGAGGCTGGAGTGACGCGGCCACAGCCACAGAAGGCCTGCAGCCATCAGGATCAGGAAGAGGCAGTAAGGATCTCCTCTGGGGGCTTTGAGGTAGTGTGACCCTGCCGACACCTTGATTTTGGAAGTCTGGCTCCAGAACTGTGGGAGAAGAGGTGTGTGCTGTTTTAGGCCCCCAGTCTGCAGTACGTGGCCATGCCAGTGGTCAGCTGCTTTCCGCCTGACCCACTGAACAACATTGCCCTGCAGAAGTGGGAGGGCATGGGGCTGGCCTGGGTGCACCGAGATCAGGGCCAGGGCCCCCAAGCACTGGGGGTACCTGTGAAGGTCTGGACTCGGCTCTTATGGAAACCTTGAAGAGCCCCAGCCCACTCCCACCCCGCACTGTAGGTACTGCTAGGAGAAGGCCCCCACCCCGCCCCCAGGGTCGCCATGCTTGGCCTTTTCCAAGGGCTCAGGCCGGGTGTGCTTCACAGCTGCCTGGGGGCAGGGTTGTTGGAGGGGCTGCAGCAGGAGGGAGGGAGGCAAAGTGTACTATGCCCACCATGAAGATGAGGGATGGGGCAGCCAGGGCCTCCCAGACAGCTGGGGACAGCCTGGCATGAGGATCCTGGCCGCTGACCACTCCAGAGCCCTTTCCTGAGGTCGCCCTACCTTGCCTGGCCTGCCCCCACCCAACCTGTTCCCATTTTGGTGTATGGCTTCACTCCAGTCCAGACCCCCAGATGCTCTGGGCCCTAGGGCCCCTCCTCCCTATTCCCCTGCCCCTGCTGGCCCACCCGGGGCCCCATCTCCTGCCTCCTGCCTCTCCCAGGGCCAATCCTTCCTGCCTCCATTTCTCTTATGACATTTAATCACCAGTGTGTCACCAAACCCCTCTGAGTCCTGAGCTAGGTCAGCCTTGGGGTTCACATGGGATCCCAGAGCTAAACCAGACACTTGGTTCAAGTGCCTTCAAGTGGGTCAGCGTCACTCTGCCCCAGGACCTGCAAATAGCACCTGGGGACCAGAGGCCAAAATCCAGCCTGGACCTCCCAGCCCTTCACCATGAGGCCCATCCAATCCACCCAGCTGAGCTGCACAGCACACCATGGCCTGAGCCCCTGTGCCCTGCCCATGCCTGTCACCCTGCCTGGAGTGCCCTTCCCCATGACTCTGCTGCATACACATCCCACGAGCAGTGACCAGAGCTCAGGCCTCCAGGGCCACGTGGCTGGGTCTGCTGCACACTCTGGGCCTTACTGTCCTCATCAGTAAAATGCAGACAGTGACAGCTTCCACTCAGGGATGAGGGAAAGACCCTGCTCCGAACCTGAGCTGCTACAAAGAGTCAAGGGATGGTGGTTCCCACAAGGGCCCAGCCTCGCCTTCTCCTCCAGGGAGCCCTCCCAGATGCCTTCAGGTAAGTGAACCGCCCTCTTCTCTGCCCTCCCAGGGCAAGTGGGCCTCCATTATGGCAGGGAATGAGATCTGCCTGTACCTGGGGACTGGTGCTCACAGGCTGTCTGTAAGGTCCTTGGAGGAAAAGACAGTGTCATTCATTCCTTCATTCATTCACCCCCATCCCCCCGCCCACCCACCCGTGCATCCACTCATTCATTCATTTATTTCACAGTAACTTAANCGAGCCACCTGCAGCCCCCTCAAGTGCCAGCCCCTTCTTGCCTCTACCCTTCTCAGCTCTGACATGTCCTTCAAGGCTCCGCTCCGGTGTTGCCTCCTCCAGGAAGTTTCTGCCCTCTACCCCAGGCTCCTGGGCTCATGCTGCCCTGGGTGTGGCCCCTACACTCCTCCCGTGGACTAGCTCCTATAGCCAGGGCCATGTGTGACTCCTCTCTGTCTCATGCCTAGCCTGGTACTGGCACAGCAAAGGGGCAGGGAGAATTTGTTGAGTGGATGAGTGAGCAACTTGTGGCCTCAGCTACGGTGCCTGGGGCAGAGAGATTCTTCAACTTCTCTGTGCCTAGGAAGGCAAGTCCGTCACATGCCCAGGAGCCCCTCAGGTCCTGCCGCCCTGTGTGCAGCCCCCGGGGCTGGCGTTCCACTCGGCTGGCTGCCCTATCTCGGGCCATCTTGCCGCCATGGCGGCCGCTCCTCCCAGCCCAATATCTGAGGCCCTCATCTCCCTGCGGGCGGAGCTGGCTCGCCCTGACTTCTTCCCCAGTGTGTCCCTGCCTGAGTCTCCTCTGTTATCAACCCCATGCTCCATCCCACCTCATGCACGAAACTGGCTGCTCCTTGGGAGCCCCCCAGCTCGAAGTTTCTGCCCTTCCTCAGGCTGCTCCTGCCTCCTGGGAATGTCACTTCCCCGGGTGTCTCAATCTGAGCCAAAGACTGCCTCCTCCAGGAAGTCTTCCCTGGTGTGTTGTCGTGGCCCCTGGAACCAGGAACACCAAGGGCAGGGATATGGGGCTGTGGCCTGGGGTCCCCAGCCCGGGCCAGCTCACACCCTGCGTGGACACAAAGTCCTTGTCCCCGCCCTGCCACCCCAGCGGGGAGCCCTGGGGACCTCACTGCATCACTTGGAGCCTTGGTTTTCACGCCTCTGGGACGGGAGCAGCAAGGCCGCCCTCGCAGCTGTCGGGAGGCTCAGAGATGACCCGCGGGGCGCCCCCCC